GGGGGGGGGGGGGGGGGGGGGGTGTTCAGACACGATCGAATGACACACCACGGTGGAAATGAAGACCAGGAGCCGACCCTCCACGCATACCCTGCCACAACAACGACGAAACGAACGACCCCCTGTGAAATAATTTTTCTGGAGGCTGGGGTATTGTGTTGTGGCAGGCGCTCCCCCCCTCCCCCCGTAATACGTTGGTTAGGGCTATGTTTCTTCGGGTTCCGGGGCCGTTTGGGCCTTCGTCCAAGAAGAGCAGGCTCATGCTCTTCGCAGCTGGAAGTTGTACCTGCAGAGCTCAAGCTCCCACTGTCACCACGGCTGCCGGCTTCCGGCCTCTTTAAGCCTTGCCAATGACAAGGCTGCGCTGGGCGTGGCGGCAGCGACTGCTTCCTGCCACCGCGCAGCTTGTGGCGTGCTGCTGAAAACACAATAGAGCTCCGTCTGCATGCTCTTCGTCTTGCACCAGGGCAAACCCGTCTGATGAAACAACGGCTTCTCGCACCACTACACCGCAAGTTGCTGGGGCAACGCTCAGGATCTTTACAAGCACCTGTCGCATGAGAGTTGACATACGGCATGCAACATGGGCTGTTGGCTGGGGCTTGCTGGCTGCCTTGCCCAAGCACAAGTCGTTAATTGGCTCCACGTCGAGGTCCATAATTATGTTGGAATGTTTTTGGCCCTGGGTATGACGGCTACGAACGGAAGATGACCAATGGCGTGGAAACCAGCGCATGGATGGAACCCACGGCTCCGTACTGCTCCCACGGACATGTATTTCGGAGCAGCATGTAGCTTGGCTGCTAAGGTTTGGGTGACTCATGACTGTGCAACATGGACAGAGCTAGCACAGGAAGGAGGGACTGTCGAACATTGAACCATGGTCGGCCACCACTTTAGCGGATGCTACTCTGTGACTCTGCCCGTGGATCTTGGCTTTACGGCTAAAGTTAGGGTCCTGAATGCTTTGCGGCTGCCACTCGAGCAGCTGGAAGTGCGGAGTCGCTTGCGGACTCGCCTGGAACTCTGCAGCTCGTGACTCGTCAGCTAGGGCGCACGTCACGTCCCAGTGCCTTCATGAGCTGCACCCAACGCACTACTGGTCCTTCCCGTGGCTCGAGGCTCCTGCGCAAGGAATACACTTGAAACCGCTCAAACTGGAGGTTCTTGCACGAGTCCTGGCATCCGACTGGCCATCTGATGGTCCCTTGCAGCTGGATGCACGCTTAGGGCACTTGGGATGAGACAGTGGCAGGCCTCAAGGCTCGGATAGGCTCAGAGCTACCCCGTCGCTCCATTTGGCATTTAGCTTTGAGTTCCGGGTTGTGGTCTCGAGTCTGGTCCGCAGCACGTCACTGGCATCCTTGACCTTCGCTTCATGTTCCAAGCCAAACCAGACTCGCTTTGGCAGTTCCTTTGTTCCTGGGCACATACTCATGATCGCTTCGCAGGCCAATTTGTTCACACAGCGTGTTGGCAAGTCTTGCTGCGGAAGACCAAAGGTATCCAAAGGTTGGTAAAGATGACCGACACGTGCAGGAGTAGATAAAGTTCCTGATTGTCGACAGCGAAGTGGTTGTGTTGCATGTGACAGGCGGGAGTGCTGCCAAACGTGACCTGGACACCCATCACGAAATTAACTACATGTGACTGGCAGCGCAGAGCGGCAGAGTATCCGTGAGCCAATCCGGCCTTTGAGGCCCTCGGTAGGCATTGGAAAGGGATCAATTTTTTTTGCTGCTGCCGATTGTGCTCATGATGCTGATGGAGCTCACTGCACCGATGGTGCTGATGGTGCCGACCGTCTCGATTATGCTCATGAGGCTGATGCTGCACACTCGGCGAGATGAATCAGTTGGCATGTGTTTTGACTTCTCAGTAAGCATAATTTGAACTCGGGAAAATCATGCGTTCCAACTTTGAAGAAGACATGGGTTGCAGTGGCAGTCCTCGCCTCGACGCTTACAGATATTTCACAGAAGGCGCCATAGGCACCATCCTGCACATTTTCAGCATTGAATCACGCAACCTGGAACCAACAAGTCATGGGGCAGCGTGCCTGCTCTATCCGAAGGTCGCACACGGCACCTTCCAGCCGCGCTTAAGCACTGAAACGCTGTCGAACCTCTTTCGCCCACCAGCCTTCGGATGCCAGTCCAATCGCCGGGCTGTTGCTGGCACATGCCTGTGCAACAGCCTGAGCTGCTGCCTGAAGGTGCAGAACCGGCACAGGGCAGAAGCACTGGCACTGCGAAGTACTGCGAAGGCCTCCGAGCTGGTCATCAACCTTGGCATCGCGTCACACTTTTAACATCCTGCCCTGTCCGACTCGTTTCCAAGTGCCAAGCAAGGACGTTCCCGGCGAGGTGTAGTTCGATGAATCCCGTCTGCCAGCCTTCCGCGTTGGGCAGGAACACCTAGCTTTAGGAAAGTTGAGCCGCTGCACCTGCCCAAAGAGGGAGAGCCCACCGGTGGACCTCAGCGGCGCACGCAGAGTGCACGTGTCAAAAGCATGAGCACCCGGTGTGCACCAGATGCCATCAGGCCGAGGCCGAGTTTCGCACATGTCAATGCTTTCCCTGGGGACACATCAACAAGAACACGGTTACGTCGCAGCATCCGTGCCCACACACTGGCTGCCATGGCGGCACAGGAAACTCAGCCCATTGCACAGATATCCGGCGTGAATCACCAACTCGAGATCCGTTATAGCTTAGCATTGAAGAGGAGCGACTCCGAAGCCTTCACGAAGCGCTCTACAGGAAGAACAACTCGAAGAGGAGATCTGTGAGTACCACAAAGCCTTCTGTGCCCCGCCGACAAGCTGAATCGCTCAAGAAAAGCACTCGTCACTAGTCACTAGAAGTCAGCACATGTGTGCTAGAAGACCAGCACATCGTGGTCGTGCGGGCAGATCTACTGTGAGCGGTTTCACTACCTTCCGTTGTGAAAACCGTCTAGCTTCGCAGGCTTGAGGCATAAAGTGTTTCGTTTCAGGCAGGAACACCGCCTAACAGTTTGGAGCTACCAGGTCCGCCCCACAAGACAAAGATCCCACCATTGATTCCGATGACTCTCGCAGTCTGTACCATAGGCTGACCATGAGCTGATTGTAGAAATCCCGGTGTCCCACCTGACTTCCTCGGCAGCTTGGTAGAGCGCTCCTGCCGGAACCGGCTGCGGGAGCTCCTGGCCCGGGAACGGGTGTGAGCGCAAAGACTCAAAAAGCCATGAAAGCCCAAAAATCGTTGTACTTTGCATCCGAGGCCCTGGTTCTCGGAGTTCCGAGACCAGACCGTGAAGACTGAAGACCTAGACTATGCGTCGTCTGGGCGGGCCCATGTTTTCAAGCCGATCCTAGGTCCTGTCCTCTCACTCTCCTGTCCCCCAAGCTGAGCATCGCAGTTGAGTGATCTTCACCAACTTGTCGCATCAACCCCACGGCTTTCCACTAATATAGACCGAGAACTCTGATCTAACAGGCCCAGATCCTCGAAAGGTTTTGCCCCAGGCGGGCCGGTGTCGGAAAACCAGGTTAGCACCTTGAGCTTGAGCAAGTTCAGCTTTGCCGGTCCCATGGATCAGCCGAGAGCCAGACGTCCTCCAAAGGCAAGGGGCGGTCTGACAGCACCTCATCGTAGATCGGTAGATTTGTTCGACACTCGCAGACAAATTTCATCGCCAGGTTCCAAGAGAGTCTCTCGAGTGGCCAAGGCCCGTGCCGACACCAATTTGCTGAGCCCGTCCTCGAAACCTGATCATGGAGCACTGTTCAGACTGCCAGTGGCTTGAAGCCTGTATCTCCCTGTCATCCCTCTTTGGTCCGACCTAATGGGCTCTTCCAGTCTGCCGGAAGTGGCCTTAGTCTGTAGGACTGCTGAAAATTGAGAGCAATTTGGGCGGCGGCTGAGGCTGGCTCGGTCTCCGCTGCGCCGCTTGCCGAGGCTGGGCTGGGCTTCGCGACCTGCCAGGACAGGCACGGGACCGGAGGGGCGCAGAGAAGTCAGCGCTTTACTTGCCTGGCATTGGCTGCAGGCGACAGTAAGACCGTATGTAGAACATTCAGAACCTTAGAGTCTTAGAGTCTTAGGGCAGCATGCGAAACCAGGAGGCTCTGTTGCATCCTTTTCTCAAACCTCAAATCTGTGGTGCTGGCTCGCCCTGGCTCCCATAATCCGACATCTTCTGATGCACCACCTTTGTCGTAGGCACGGTACTCGCGAAAGCCTACCAGTGCTGGAATAGTAGTAGGCCCGCCGCGAGGCTTGTGCGACAAGCCCGCGAAGTAGCTGCACAACGCCACTGCTTCCTGCGCAGCAGCTTCTATCAGTATCAGCAACTTCCCATCACAAGTTCCCAACAAGGAGCCGCAGGCCGCGGCGGTCCTCTGACAATGCGTGGATTTGCTCATCTCGGGTGCGAATGGCCTCAGCGAGGCAGGAACTGCGCTCTGGAACCTGCTCACGCTTGCGCACGCTCATGTGAGCAAATTGGGCTCGCCGATCCTGCAACCAGGATCCGCAGGAGAGCTTCACCACGTACGTCCCCATGCACACCTCGGGTCAGCCCGACGACAGTCCAAAGAACCGGCAACGGCTCAGGCATTGGCCAGGAAGATCTTCGAGAGGAGTAGTTCGAAGAGGTTCGTGTCCTGCAAGTTGGAGGGCGAAAAAAACATCGGGTGGCAAATTGGGAAAGCCCCAACTTGCCGGGCAGACCAGCCACTCTCGCAGAACTTGAAGGTTTGGGCTCAGCAACTGGTTCAGGGAGGGCACGAGTGAGTAGCCTGCACAAACATGCACAAGCCAAGTCTGCCACAGTTCTGGTCTGGCAGCACCTATGCTGGCTACGGAGATGGCAGTCATGGCAACTGCGACTCGCTCGATGAACTGAAACCAACTGAAACAACAGACCGATGCGCACTCTGCCTTGAGGCTCTGTGCTGTTCGGGCTCAGGACCTGCCGCCGCCTTGGCTATCAGACTTTCGCCGACGGGCTTGCTTCAGCGCAGGCCCGCGCCATCGAGTCGAAGCAACGTCGCAAGCTGCCCACAGGAGGGCCTTGACTCTGGAGCTGGATGAGAGTTTTCACTATTCGGCCACTGCCTGGCCTCCAGGATACCTTCGAAGTCCTGCTCCTCACGGTCCAAGCGCCACCTCAGACCCATGCGCGCTCGGGCCAAGAGCCACGCCACGCACGCAAGCTGAGCTCCAGGCTCGCGTGGAACAGGACTCGACGGACTCGACTCCGACCTTCGAAGCGACACCGGACCGGGCACGCCACGATGCGGGCACGATGCATATCACTGCCTGGTCTCCGACTCCTGGAACTCCTGCGATGGAAACATGATGCGAGTACGTTGAGTACGTGTCGCTGAGGCTTCTTGGGGTTTCGTCGTCCTGGAGATCCACCTCGGTATCGTAGCAGCGTATTTGCATCCGACAGTGGGCCTTGGCGATCACTGCAGTAACGATCTCGCCCCAGAATCTTGGATCATCATCGCACATCAAGAATCTGACAGCGATGTCCTCACAGTGCTGCTTGAAGACGGGCATCTGCCAGCTCCGCAATTTCACAACATCGTCCGAAATTCGCATCTTGCAAGCGCAGCTAGGGCAAGCTCGGCAGCTGGTGCACTGACTTCTGAGCTTGATGCTGCATTTGCAAGCGATGATACACCCCAAAACCTGGTCAGGCACATCAGCCAGCACTGCACATTCACCCTGTGCAGCGGATCTGAGGCCAAAACCATCGGCGAAGGAGGGTTTCTCGATGCTGAGACCTCACCTTGATGCTCATCGAGCAACTGGACAGCCAAACACGAAGCCGTAAGGCCGGAGTGCCTCAGGCAGTGTGGCCCACAGCCAACCTCGAAGGCTTTCCTGACAGAAGCACGCATCCAAAAGCTTCGAGGCTCGGTAGTTTGGGGACGTTTCTGCCGTCTTGCAGCCTGCCCTCGCGCATGCCGCATACAAATGTAGCCCGGCCAGATTCGGACTTGCAAAACTTGCTGGCTTGCGACTTCTGCTTTCTCACTGCTGCATTGCAGCTAACTTGCGGCGTGACCTTCAAACCCAATTTCCAAACTATGGTGCGAGTACCGATCGACCGGTTGAAAAGCAAGAACTGCCGTGTTTGAAAGGTCTCTTGATCCCCAGTCCTTCGAATTGCGAATTCTGCAGGAGAACTTGGCCACCAGACCGCAGCCCATGGTAAAACACTCTGGACTTATCTGAAACTAGCCGAACTGCCGAATAGCCCGAGCGGGTTGAAAGCATCGGATGTGCGTGTTTAAACGCCTTTCTTCAATGATGCTCACACGGATACCCGACATTTCAACTCATCCAACGCTATCGTCAGTGAGATCAAGAGAAAAGACCCGAGGGTGAATGCCCGCTGATTCTGAAGCAGTGTGGTGGGCAGAGTTTGACATCAGTGGCGCTTGAGACGGATCTCATTCAAATACGCAGATGCTCAGGTGGCCCCCATGCAATGCAGCGCAGCGCAGCACCGCATGCTGCCCAAAAAGGCGAAGTGTGTAAGCTAATCGCACTAGCCACCACCGGATAATTAAGCTGGATGGGGGTTTGACTTGCTGCCTCTCGGTTGGCTCCAAAGGCTCTAAAGGTCTAGGGAAGCCAGGGAAGACCCGGCAATTTAGTTTCGTGTCTCGACTTGGAGTACTTTGCGACACCGTCCGTGGACACCCCGGGGTTGACTTAATTAAATGTCTGTCGTTAAATGGGCCTCTGCCCAATCCAGCCGTGCGAGGACACAGGTGGCAAGACGTGCACTGGTCTTGAGCCAGTACCACGTTGGAAACCACAGATCCCACATTTGTTCATCGTGAAGACTCCATGTTGCAATGGTAGACTGGTAGATTGCCTATCATCTTAGTTCCTTCGGGCAGCCATTGCTCGAAGGGCGATTCCCCAAAGGCAGACGACGGAGTTCTTGTCGATGTTCCTTCAGTTAAAACCTGAACCCTGTTAAGACCTAGGCTTTTTGACGGACAGGAACACCGAGTTCGGAAGAGATCCGCCAAGAGGCGGAGCAAGTCCCCAAAGAGACCCAGAGGCAAGGCTATTTCCGAATCCTGTCTTGTCCGCCTGTGAGTTTGAGAAGTAAAGGTGGGTGGGGCGAGAATCGCCAGCACAAGGACGGCGATGCTTGCTTCGTTCAATTCCAAGCCGGGCTGAAGAGGGCCCGTAGGGCCTTACCAAATGCAGAATGCTACCCGGCACCCTACCAACAGCTGATCAGCCTTTAGCAGTTTCACCGGGCCTGGACCTCCTTTATGACAAACTTCGCCACACCTTGGGTTTTGAAAAGGCGAATCGCGGGGGCTCGGCGGATTTTCAAGCCCTTTTAGGGAATCCACGGAGGGAACACAGGCGCCATCCTGGATGGCCCGGCTCTTTGTCCTTGTACGCAAGGCTCAAGCTCTCTCGGCCTCATTAAGGGTTGGGCTTGGGCGACCACCAGGAAGCAGGAGTTCACAAAGGTGAAGAAATCCACCGGCCTCTCGAAGCAACTTCAAAAGAAGTGCAGTTCAGTTCAGTTTCTCTGGGAGCGTGGCAGGCAGCTGGTGATAGCCTTCACGTTGCACTGTGGCCTGCAGACAACCCAGGATGTCCCTCAGCCCTCAACGCAGCAAGCCAGATGCTCCAGAGGCTGCAACGTCGAGTTTTTGTTGAAACTGGGCCTTACTCGCAAGAGGCAGAACGTGAAAGCGAGACAAATTCAATTGAGGCCGCCGCGCGCGTGACATCTTCGGAGGCTGTGCATTGCCGGGGCCGTGCCGTAGGCGCCTGGGCCAGTCTCAGCTGGTCTGCTGGCGAGGGGGAAACCAGAGTACAGAGGCTCAATCTCAATCACATAGTCCAAAAAGATGAGGCGCTCCATCCCTGAAATTCCGTTGGGGCCTGTGGTGCCTGCGTTGCTCAATCTGTAAGGCCAATGTAGATGAGGCCACGAGCTACGTGGGATTGAGGATCCATGCACGACGTTACCGGCCCTTTTCGTTGTAAATCCGGAACTTTACATCGGTCCCGCAGGCTGAGCGCAAGACTCACCCAGCTCGGAGACGAGGAGCTGTGCGGCTAAACGCCGAACGTGGGCTCCTTAAATGGACTCGCCCAGCTATGCTTCTTAAGTTCTTCATGAACCTGCAGCGCTTTCTGACGCCTCGGAGCTGAGGCGATCGCCCATCCGCAAGCTCAATTCTGAAGACAAGCCTGCCAAAGGCGTCTGCAGCGGGCCGCACACCTGCCACACATGGGCCACGACGCAGACGCGAAGCGCGAAGGCTGGCCGCTGCCGTGCCGGAGGTGCCACGCCCAGGCTGCAGGCGGCTTGCCGTCGCGCCTACAAAGCAGGGGGAAAGCTCCACTCTCGGACGTCTCAGAGTCTCCGACCCAGAGCTCGAGCTGTGTTCGGGCCTCCAGCCATCGGAGGAGGTTCCTGGCATCCGACAAAGGCAAGTCAGCGTTCCAGCGCGTCCAGCCTGGATCAGCGGAGACTGCGCTAAAATCCAGCAAAACAAGGAGAACACCTTTTTTGCCAAATGAACATGATTCTTCATGGCAGGCAACGCTGGTGCTCATGGGGCACTACGAAAGCTCAACAAGGCGGAGGACGAAAGCGAGGGCGGGCAAGGCATGGATCAGACACGGCGGGCTGCAAATCGGTTTGGCTGTGGTGGAAAGGAAGCACCGGCAAACAGACTTGAAGCTTCCCAACATGTCACAGCCCGACGGGGAGCCAGCATCTGGAGCATCAGAAGTGGTCCGCAGAATGTGGCCGGCCGTGACAGCGCTTGACGAGATTCCAGGCCGGGACTCCCCAAAACGCAGCTCAGCCAAAGACACCAAAATGGGCCGGATTTTGCAACCAGGCTTGAATTTTCGAGTCCGGAAACTGCACCCAATGCCAATATCTCGCAACCGTGGAACCCAGTTCACCAGACAAGAACGTCGGGCGCCCCGCAGCGGCCAACTGTCGCCACAGCCGGAACCAAAGCACACCGGAGAGCCTCATTCACATCATCCCCCCTTCGGCTGTACGAGGCGCTGCCTTCTTCTGAGTTCAAGTCGGCTCCTGCAGCATCCTGTGACAAGCAACATCTGCAAGACACGGAAAGCAGAGGTACACAACGTCCGCTACCTGGCGGAAAGGCCGCTTGGCCAAAGCAGCTTCCAGTAAGCCTGCGCCACCACTTGACGTTTCACAGGCCGCACGGTGGCCCTGAGGGTCCTTCGGCTTCCAGGCAAACGTCCTCGCAGTGCAGGGTACGCAACGCATCAAGAAGGCGCCATCGATTTTGGACGGCCTCGGGCCTCGCAGGCTGCCAGGACCCGGCGGGTGGCTTCCGTTGCGGCATCCACCCCTCCAGCACCGGTACTGGGAGCACCAGACATCCACGACCCGGCCTCGACGAGTCAAGTGCCACCGCCATCAACGAGTATGAAAATACGCGACGGCATGCCGTCAGCGGTCTGCTCTGCGCGCACTTGTCGGAGCAAAACTGAGTTTGAGGCAACCGTGGTCGACGATAGAGACACCTTTTGCACAGGTGCGATCTGCGAAGGACATGGAGCACCGCCTTCGCAGCTTCAGGCTTGCACGGCGGAGCCTTCACCTCGCCAGGCAAGTCTCTCAAACTCTTCACAAGCCTCTTCAGCTCTGCCTGGACCACCCAAGGACAAGGACAAGCGGGCCGTCCTCCGCACTTCTTGCAGCCCGAAAGCCTAGGAGCACCCTCGTCCTGGGTCCTTGGAGACGCCCATGCCCGCAGCCTGCTTGCTGCCGACAGCGTTGGAGGGGGCCTCGGAATGTGCGCAGCCGCGAAGGGAACCCGTCCATCCTACTGGGAGGCGAGCGGTGCATATCCCGACACCTGCTTCAACCGCCGGGCGGCAGCCTGGTCTTCCGAGTCTCGTCGGATGAAGGAACCGGCAAAACAAGCTAATCGGCGAGGGCATCCGATGGCCTGACACCACTCAACGGGGCTCCTGTCAAAGCTGTCAAGGGCCTCACAGAGCCGCAGATTCCCGACCCGCTGCTTGCTCCCACGGCATGCTTCAACGCATGACGTCCATTGCCATGCGTAGCCTCTTCGGCAGCACGCTTCTTGCCCTTCGCTTGTGCCCGAGCCTTGGTGTCAAAGCTTCAAGGCTTCAAGTAACGTCACCACGCACGACTCCGATTTTTTCAGCTTCTCACAGCCCATCGAGCAGCCTTTACAGCTTGACACCAGAGCTCACATTCCTCACCTGATGTGCATCACCCCTCTGATCGCATCTGTGCAGGGTCAAAAGCTCCATTTGACGGTAATGCATGGCTCTGCTGAGGTACCTGCGAGTCTCAACCGTGATCAGCCAAGAAGCCCCACTCGGCAGGCTGCATGCCTCGTCTACCTCAACCAATACTACATGCTCTCTATCTCTCACGGCAGGCATGAGATGGGCCTCATAGATGCAGAGAGACCAACCACTTCCGTGCTTGCACTGCGCGACATCACCTACCTGTAACAAGTTTCCAAGCAAACGAGCTTTGCGGCTTTACGTGCATGGGCTACTGGGCCTCGCAGTACAGCAGTGGGAGGCTGGCTACAGGCTCCGACGAATCCAGCGGATCATGGAAGGCGTATAGAGCCTCAACAAAATGAATCAAGCCGTAAAATCTAACAAAATACGCTAAAATTGACCATGACCTGTGAATGCGTGGTGTGCTTGCTCTGTCTGATTGGTGTAGGATTCCGTGCCTCGAATTGCAAGGGTGTGTCTCTCGGAGGTTCCAGCACCACGGCCTCGTTCGCTCCCAATCTCATACCATTTCTCTTCTACTCAAACGAGCCAGCCGGGCTTGTCTGAAAACCTCAATTGAGTTTGCAGCCCCGAGGACTTGCTGCGACTCGCCAGCTGTCTCCGAAATCGCCCTGATTCATGGCTCCGATCGTCAGCGTTTGGTCACGGCTTGACGACTCACAGCTTAATCCAATCAAGTGATGCGAAAACACCGTAGCCAAGAAGTATCCACTGGACAAAGCAGCCCACGCCTGGAACTCAACAGAAGGAGCCAAGACTCCGTTCCAGCCTCATGCTAGATTGATGAAGTTCATTGTGAGCTAATGTAGAAAAAGAGAGACAGAGAGAGAAAGAGAGAGAGAGAGAGAGAAAGAAAGAAAGAAAGAAAGAAAGCTACCCGCATGCACGTTCGACTGAACTCACTGATCAGCAGCCAAGACACAGAGTGGCATGCAACACATTTTAGACCACTCTGGCATGGGGTCGAGCGGCACATCGAGCATCACACGAACCGAAAGAGAGTGAGAGTCCCGAACAGAAAACCCCGACCACTGACACCTCCGAACGAAGGAGTCAGTAGTGAAATGCTCGAACGAGCAGTCGGTGCAACCTTCACGGTTCGGCCGGAATCACTAGTCCGTTACGTGCGGTGTGGTATGTGCCTATGCGCTGCCGAAAAACCAGCAGTGAAGATGCATGCTCCCCTTTTTCGGATGGCTGTCGCCGCAGCGGATCGTACGGGAACTCCGGTCGGTATCGGACCGGAGAACCATAACTCTGCGACGGCCAGGTATTCGGTCGGTCGGCGAACAACAGTTGTACGGCCGATCAACGGGAAAGACTTTGCTGGGTATACGGCCTACCTCGCTATATACACAAAGTCCACAGAAATCCACCAGGCCGAAAATTCCAAAACGGAAGAAATCCAGCGGAGAGGCGGAGAAATGGGGACGGTGGCGGGAAGAAATAGCTAGCACACCGCCGGCGAACGGACCGGTATGCTTGAGTAGCACGGCTGCGGTGTTACACCCTTGCCGTTGCGAGATTCCGGACAAACAGACTACGACACGTCGAGAAACCGTTCGGCCGGAATCACTAGTCCGTTACGTGCGGTGTGGTATGTGCCTATGCGCTGCCGAAAAACCAGCAGTGAAGATGCATGCTCCCCTTTTTCGGATGGCTGTCGCCGCAGCGGATCGTACGGGAACTCCGGTCGGTATCGGACCGGAGAACCATAACTCTGCTACGGCCAGGTATTCGGTCGGTCGGCGAACAACAGTTGTACGGCCGATCAACGGGAAAGACTTTGCTGGGTATACTGCCAAATATAGAACTCGGAGCCGGGCAACAGAGTACCCGCAGGGGGAAACCCAGCCAAAGTCAGAACTCTAGCCGCGGAGAACAGGCGAGACCACACCATTAACCCGGAAAAGCAGCCGGGAAAATGGAAACAGAAAGCGCTTCAGCGGGATAGTATTGTGGGCGAGGCGGACAGGATAACAATTCTCATGGGATTAACACCTCGTCGGACGCGATCAGTCCCAAATCGGAAGGAGGAGCGGAACGGCTAAGGCCATCGGCAACTTTGTTCCGGAATCCAGGAACATGGTCAATGTAGGTGCTAACGCAGAAATGCCGCTGCCATGAGAAGTAGGTACGGAGCAAGGAACAGAGTCCACGAGCTGTGGATATGCCTTTCCACGAAGCCGAATCGGACGGGGCGTTATCGCACCTGCTTATGAAGTGAACAGGAGAATGCCCAGCCGGGACGAGCAGAGCGACGCACCAAACAAGCGCCAACTGACCAAGCAGCTCCCAGGCAGCAATGAATTTCTGCGGAGCAGAAGATTCTTCAAACCAAGGAAACAGTGAGGACAGTTCGGACGCTGAGAAGGTGCGGCGGAACCAGACGCAGCGGCCGGACACCAAGCGAACATACCCGCCAATCCCAGCGGAGCGGGAGTCGGCGCAGGCATCGGCAAAGGCATCGCACTGCAGGAGCGGGGCAAGGGCAAGGGCGAACGTCGGAGTGTCACCGGAGAGGCAAGACTGCCACATGCGAAGAATCTCACGGGATTCGGAAGAGAGTTTGCGGTCGCTGTCGGGGGGCATACGGACGGAAATCCACGTCCGGCGCTCCCCCGGAAATGCACGCGGAACGTCCGACAAACGAGCAGGCTTAAGGCTATCAACGGAGACTAGAGTGCAACCTTTAGGACAGCTAGACAGCCCGACCTCACGTTGCAAGCAGAGGTCCGGAGAAAGGGCGGACCGAAAGGTAGCCCACAAGCCAGGGGAAACGGCAACGTGCACCAATGGCGGAAGCCCTTGGTCCCGATACAGCGGACCGAGAGAAGGGCGGAAGGGACGAAACAGGGAACACACCCAAAGTAGCTTTCCGGTGAGTTTCCGCAGAAGGTGCAAAGGAACCGAATCAGAGCGGATAACCAAAGCCAGAAGGTCGCGTAGGCGGACGAGTTTGGGTGCCTCCAGAGCGGCGGACATGGAGTCAAAATTCATGGACCACCCAATCCAGGACGGACGGCAACCGAGGTAGGCCTTATGCCAACTCATAGGGACCCGGAGCAAGAGAAGGAGCACGCACATGATCGCGGCCCAGACCGGAGCGGACGGCCCGGAAAACAACGATATTAAATCGTCAACATAAATAAGAAGGGCGTGCCGGACGAAAAGAAGACGGTGCAAAAGGCGGGACAGAAGGCCGGCGACGCGCGCCCAGTAGTACCCCGAGGCCCTGGCGCCGAAATGCAACGTGAGGCATTGATAAAGTTTGCGGCGGTGAAAGAAGCAAAGAAGTCCACGGTCGGAGGAGCGGATGAGGATGCGCCGGTGCGCCTTGCTGACATCCAGGACAAGTGCAAACAGCCGCTCAAGAGAAGTGCGGGACGGAAGGCAACGACGGAGGCCTGTGATGGTGGGGTTGGCCGACTTATTTGGGAGTTGGGTGTGCGCGGTGACGCCGGAAACGCTGCTGTCCACCACCAGGCGCGGGTCACGATCCGGAGCTTTCACCAGACCAAGCTTGCCAACGGCAGAACGGCTGTACTGGCGTTTCAAAGCAGTAAGGCCACCCGGAACTTCGGCAATCCAGCCTTCCGAGACTTCCGGCCTGCAGCAGACGGTCGACAGTAGCCGGATCGGACAAGGCAGACCCCCAAGACGACTCGCAGTGCATCAAGTCCATGTCAGGTTCTGGAGCAGGCGGTGCGGGGAAAAGGGATGGACACGGCGGCATAGGCTCATCCACGCCCAGAGGAACCCCCGAAACCAGGAGGTCAATGAAGTCAACATCCGGGTCCTTTGCCGCAGACAAAAGCGCCTTGAGAAGAAAAAGACGGAACGGTTGGCCGGGCGGGACGCGCAGCAGCGACTGGAAATCCGCATCAGAAAGGCTCAGGCAGGAACGCAAGTCCGAAAGGAAGGGAGCCAAATCGGGCTCGGAAATCGGCGGATGCTTGGAACCGGAAGCAACATTGGCGCGGAATTTGGAAAGGAAGTCGCCCGAAAGTATGCGTGAAGTCCACAGCTTGCGGAGTGAAGCAAAGCAGTTGGGGCCCGACGGGACCGCCCAAGAAGCAGTCGACACGGAACCGGCACCATCCTCGACGCGGGACGGTGGGACAGGCCAAGGGGACCGGTCAGGGAGCAAAGTAGCTTCCCACTCCAGGAATGAAACCACGCGGTTGTCGCGAGAAAGGAACGGAACCAGAATTGACGCCAGGTCCGCACACAGCGATGCCGGATAGCAAGCGGTATGTCTAGTCAAGAACTGGCCAGAGGAATCGCGACGACCGGAAAGGGCCGGGTGGAACCCAGGGCGGTGCGGGCAAAGGGCAGCCAGAGTGGACATGTCGGACAAGTTCGAAACAAACGTCCACGATTTCTGGGCGGACAGGCCATGCACGCAGGAAGCAACTTGCGTGGCCGAAAGTGCATGATGACGAATCCAATGCTGGCATTCGGACGTGAGCCAGAGCAGACTAGACGTGGGATTCTCAAGGACCACGATTCCCCCTCGCAGCAGCACTAGAGAAAGGAGTTCGCGTGTGAAGGAGTGCAATTCGTCGGCACGGGACAGCTCGGTTTGCTGCTTCTGAGTTGGATGGGGGATACCCCCCGGGTGCAAGGGAGTCCGGACGGCCGGGGGGCCCCCAGGCCGAAGTCGGGAGCGACTAAAGCTAGCACACGGCGGAGCGGCACAGACGACTCGAACCAGACCAGATGAACACAGCCGACGCAAAGAATCCTGATGCCGCGGGCAGCAAAGATCAATCTGCTCGCCATGCAACGAGTCAATGGGAGCAATGCGGTCACCCCCGAACTTGGCAATGGCAGCGGATAGTGGAGCGGATGCCCCAGAGAACAAGTCCAGGAAAAATCCAGGAGAGGTGTCACCATCCGGGGAGGAAGGGGACAGGCCAGGAAGGGACGCCGAGTGCAAAGCAGCACGCTTGGTGGATGGAGACTGCTGGGAAACCGGGGCGGGGGGCAAAGGCAGGGTCGACTCAACCGCGGGTGGAGCCGTGCCCGCGGGAGCCGAAGCACACGGGTGGGAGGGGCAACCTCTTCGAAGAGGAGCGGAAGGCGGGGCAAAAGACCAAGAAAAACGCAACAGCGGTCGGCGCGGAGACCGAGACCGGTCCATGCGAGCAGTGGCGGTACCGGAAGCAGGCACCGAATCGCCATCAGTCTGAGGAATCACCTCCAAGGAACCGGAAGATGAAACAGAGCAGGCGTCATCTGGAATCGATTCGGGAGCCATAGCAGGCGGGCCGGGAACAGGAACCGCGGGGCGAGCAGCCGGTACCGAAGCCAATCAGTGTGCCGTCTTCATGTGTTTCGCAGCGGTGTACCGCTGCCCGCACGGCTTGCTGGACGGCATCATGATCGGACACGTGTGAGAGAATTTGCAGGACGAGAGCTTGCACCTTCCCAGGACAAAGCGCTTGCAAATTTCCCGGCCGGATTCATCTTCGTTCGCCCAGGACGGATCCCACAATTCGGAGACGGGTTTCTTGCCAGGCCCGGTAGCCGCACCTTTGGGTGCAGCCTTCGGCTTGCCACCGGTGGGCGTCTCCTTGCGAGGCTTCTTGGGCGGGCGGTCCCCCGGAGGGTCAGGCCGGTCGGTGGAAGATGCAGCACCAGACCCACGTCCAGGCGTGTCCCGGAACGGAGGGGCAGACATGGTCCTGGGACGGGCGCACAACAAAGTGGGCAGCATGTGACGTGTGACGGACACCTCGTGCAGAGCGTCCGACAGGGACCACTTTTCGTCCCGCACGAGGCCTGCGATGGCGGCCCAGACGGCTTTCTCGGCAGACAGAGCCTCCTGCAGGGAGGGCGGCCGCAATGTAGAATCCAACGGTGCGGCCGTGGCGGTATTGATAAACGCCTCCATAAAGGTCTTCCCGGGCCGCAAGTGCAAGTCGCCAAGGAACGCAAGCGCCGTCACCAGGAGACCGCAATGGCGACGGAGGGCCGGCTCGACCGGGCCGGACACCATGGCGGTGGTTTGCGCGGCCACCGGCTCAGGAACGCCGTCCAAAATGTGACGCAGGATTTGGCCATTGGTGCGGGGGCGGCGCATATCATAGAAGTTCTGTAAGTCCTGCTCGGACGTCCGGAAGCGCCACGGCACCCACAACGTGGCGGGCTTGTCCAGCTCGGAGCGGAGGCGGCTCAGAAACTCGACGCTGGGAGTGTTAGCCGGTGACAAGATCTCCCCCGGGTAGTTTTCCATGAAATTGTGGCGGAGCGTCTCCGCAGTTTCCGCCGACACCTTAGGGGCGGAGGCGGGGTCGGGCTGGGTCGAAGCAGGGGTCGCCGGTGCCGGAGCACTCGGGTGAATGAGGGCACGGGACTGCACCAGCAGACGGCGAGCAAATGACGCAGACGGGGTGACCAGGGCCGTCGTGTCGGACGGATCGGCCGGAGGCCACGGGACGCGGAGAAAGTCGTCCGGACTGCCCTGCGCCGCGATGGCATACGCCACCGACGCAATGGTCCGGAATCCTTTCTGCGTGAGCACTTCATGCAAGTCATCCGGGCGGACCACTTCTTCAGAAGAGCCGCAAGCGCAGATGGGTCGTCGAGTGCCGGAACGGACGATGTCATTCCGTCGGCAAGAGAGACAGTCTACCTGCGGGCGCTGAAGCAGAAATGGCTGCGGACAGGAAGGGAAGCACAAGGACAGGGCACAGCAACACACCATGCATGCAAGGACAAGCTGCCCGGCAGACCAGTACTGCAGGATGTTTTCACTGTGGCTGCAGTCTGTCGATAACAAAAATCCAGCCCGACACCGGAAACGCAATGGAAACGGCACGGGCAGGTCACCGACCGGATATGGGCCGGGACGGATAAAGGCCAACAGGCCAAAACTCGCACACGGGCCGGGAGTCACCAGCCGAAGCGGTGACAGACACGGCAGGCGTACGACGCCCGCACGCGTTTGGGCACTCAGGGTTTGCACACGGCAATTGGCAGTATATCTCCATGCGGCGCGGGCGCAATATGGAAGTGCATAAACGGAGGATGCGCGCCAAGAGGCCGACGGAGCATTGCCGAAGGAGCGCCAAAAGCTCATCCGTCACGTCTTCCAGCTGAGTCAGGTCCGGGCCGGGCCGGTCAGCGACCGCGGGCGCAGGGCCGGGAGCAGCAGCATAGGAGCCACCACGGCGGTACCCACGGCCGGACATGGCGGCAGGAGAAGGGGCCTAAAGACGCTTGGCAAAATGGCCGCGGGCATGCAAGATCAAGCAAAATTGACAGGCCGGCAAGCAAGCACACCAGAGCGAATACCAACTTTTATCAGCGGGGCCCAGATCAGCTACCCTGGCAGGCACGGCGGAGGCAGTGTTGAGCCCCAGCCGGCGGAACGGGACACCATGTGTCCGAGCTAAGCTGGCCCACGGACGCGCCGCAAGCAGGCCTGACCCAGAAAACCTCCAACCCTGAGAGCTGAATCCGAACAGAGCGCGCATCGCCTTCAGAGCAGGCCACCGGACGGTGCAAGACATTGCTGCGCGGGTTGTGAAGGAAAGCCTCCAGGGGGGGAGCGGACGGCGCGGGCCTAGAGGCCTTAGATGCAGGGGGGGGTCAGGATCGGAAGCGGACGCGGCCGAGCAGTCAGAGCCAGAACTGTCAGCCGACAGATCGGTGTCAGAAGTCCCGTCGGCATCCGGAGGGGCAGAAGGCAACAGCCGAGGCGGGGCAGCAGCCTCCCCAGCAACAACACCAGGCAACGAACGGTCGGGGGGAGGCAAGCAGACGCGAAAGTCAGGCAGAGGGTTGGAAGAGCCACGGGCCACCGGCTGCAACGGACGGTACCCCGACCGAATCTTATTGAATAATATCGGCCTGGAGCTTCAGCATCGGGCCGATATCGTCACGGCTGTAAATTCGGACGGAACCCTCCATGGCGGAGGGCCGATGGTGCCCTTGGAGACGACGGAGCTCCGGATCCAGGTGGAGCTGCCGAGCCCAAGAAAGGACGGTCGCCTTGCAGGAATGAACCCCGTAGAGTGCATGCTCGGAGGGGGGCGGCAAGTCGGAGTGCAAACGCCAGTGCTCCTGAAGAAGAGACCGGAGCCAAGGCATGGCACGGGAACGGTGCAGAGGCGCCACGAAAACCGGATGGGCGGAATCAGGCGACAGGACCGGAAGCAAGAAATCCACCACGCGGGCCGGGAAAAGGCGAGAGGTGTCCGCGACGCACTGCTGAAGGGCGTTCAGCCAGGAGATTCCCCAACACGAGGCGGACGTGCCGGTAAGGCCGAGGAGTTGACAACCCCAGGGCATGGAGGCGCGGCAACACAAAATGGCCGCAGGAAGATCTCACATCCAACAAATCCTGAACATGAAGCTGATCGCATGCAGTTATGTGAGCCTCCTACCCCAAACCAACCTAACCGATGGTACGAGAACAAAGAAAGAACTAAGCAAAGAAAGACAGACAGAAAGAACGATAGAGAAAGAGAAAGAGAGAGAAGAGAAAGAGACAGAGCGGGAACACAAAAAAAATAGAAACGCTGAAGCTGGTGCCCCGCTGACGGTGTCGGAAATCAGGTTTGCTTCTGGGTGACCTGAACATATTGGCTTTAGTTGCGCATCCAGTATCGCCGAACTGAGAACGCAGCGACTCCCCAAGAAGCTGTCTCGCACTCGTCGGCCAGCTACAACCAGGCGACCCTGGCGGTGAGCAAAGCTGTCCAGCAAACCAAGCTGTTTATGCGGCATCTTAACTTTTTCTACAGTCTGATCGGCACACGGTGCAAAACTGAGGATGGTTGCTTGGATGTTTTGCACAAGATCTCCTCTTCTTGCAGAGTTGATGGTGAAGATCCTGTGACTGTGGTGTGACTGTGGGCTATGCCTTCACCGGCAGGTGTCCTTGCCTTTACGTTTAATGTTGCATTTGAGTTTCGCGGATCTTCTCGGGTGACTAACATGATGCCATTTGGAGCCACAGTCTTCGTGCTGAGGCTCAAGCAAGCACGGATCATCACCAAATTTTTTCATGAACTAACCAGCCATCCGAACGGGTTTACCTAGCTCGCGAGGATTGGTGCATCTCCTGCCCCTGCAGAGCTGCAACAGCAGAACGGCATGCTCAGGCCACATGTCAAGCATCACTACCGCTGTGAACTCTGCGCTGTAAAAGATGTGATGAACGTCTGTACAACTTGCTAGTGACAGCCGATGACGCTCACCCTCTCAAAGAACTGAATCTGGCAGCCGTTTCCTTGCACGGTGATATGAACCGATTGTCGAGAGCCCCAGTCAGTAGTGTTGGCACGACCTGTACGTTAGGCTGTTGACTGTAGCTGAGGCATACTCGCTCAGTTTTGTGCTCACCATGTATTCAACTTTCATGCAAACATCCTGGGCGACAGAGGGGAACACGAGGAAGATGACGATATGAAGATTCCGGACACTGTTGCACTCTGCGCTTCAGAAATGAAAGGCAGGTATGCGAAAACTGCCGGCAAGCATGTCCACTTCACAGTAAAATACCAGCCGCTGAAGGGTCAAGTCAAGGAGCGTAAGAACACTCGTGTCCCAACTCTCGCAGCTGTCCTACAACTGATGACCCTCCGACTCTGCATGTCGTTCGTTGGGCGAGCATGGCTCAAGATTTCTGGAGCTTTGGGTATACAGCAAGAGCCGAATGACCTGGAGCCGGACAAGTTTCTGTCTTGGCACTTTGGTTCGTCGGAGAGCGAACATGCAAGCACCGAGCTCAAGCACGCTGGCCACGAGTGTCTCTTCTTTCTCATGCTTTGGGAAGGCCTGTCGTGGCTCCTGAGCTTCTCCAGCAAAGTGAAGCAGGGCACCACCGAAGCCTCAGGTCGAACTTCAGCACTGCCGTGGTGCTATCGGCTGCTAACGGCCCTAAGCCACTAAGCCTGCCGCGTGTGTATCTTAGTGACATGGATTCCACGGACACGGCCTGCTGGAGCATGCTTGGTTCGCTCATCCTGAAAAGGGCAGCTAAGCCTCGCCTCGGCATCATCTCTGGGCACCGAGGCCTAGGGACTCGGTGCCATGTCACAACAGATGCTGACACCAGCACCGAGAGCCGCACACTTACACAGTCTTGCAGCATCTGCCATACTCCTTTGGCTTGCAGGAAGCGCTCGGCACTGACCTGGCCCCACGTGTTCGTCATGGTGATGCTCTTAGAGTCTTAGAGCTTTGACATGTTTTCACAGGCCTGAGCACTGCTGGTTGCAAGCAATCGCTGTTGTAGTGCCGCTGCATTTAAACCTTCTGTGCCCCAAGCAGAATCTGCAACTTCTCAGAAGCTTTTGAGCTCGCAGCTGCAAATCCAGATGTCTCTCTGTTCCAAACTGTCTGCTTCAAGCTCCTGTCACATGCTCTACTCCTTGGTCCTCTTCACATGCTCGCGGCAGTGTCCTCGTCGTAAGCAGCTAGTGGCGCCTCAGAAGGCCACGCAATGCAGTTTGCAAGACACCTGCTCTGACTGCGATCTATGCTGCGGGAGCACCTTGATGATAAACCGACAGCCATATGCTGCCGCCACCTTGACATCACAGATACATTCAAGGACCGATACTCCTGCTAATCTGCTGCGAGTACGAGGCCGCTGCGTGACATCCGGACAAGCTAATCTCCGCACGTGGATTTTGGCTCTGGTCGGCTAAACGCCGCCTCTTCCAATAGCCTCACCAATGGCTGCAAACTCGTCTGGCCGTGTGGTTTTGAGCTGTCCGACATGGTCCATGCTGGACAAAGGTACTGGAAAGACCGGTTTCCCGATGCAGTACAAAACATCGCGGAGCGAGGGGTCGCGCACGGACGAAAGGGGATGGACAGCAGGAGCGAAAAGTCTGACATGAGGACTGAAACCTGAAAAGGGGATGGAGGGCAGGCAAAGCTTGGAGCCCTCCTGTTGTCCCCTGAGCTGACTACCCGCCCTATGTTCAGGCTGCTACTTCTCATCTACTTTCTGCTTTTAGGGTTTTTTGGTTTGCGCATCCGTTGTCTCCTTTTCTGGCTTGGGGTACTCATATCCGTGACCCGAACCTATGAAAAGAAACCTCAGCTGGTTTCAATTCATCGGCTGGTGGTTTAGTCGCACATTATTGTCAGTACAAGCAGCGGGGTTAAGTCCCGGCGCTTTTGGTCACAACATCCCCAAGGGCATGCCCACATTTAGTCACATCAGAAATAGCAAACCCCACGCGTGCACATGGTGCGGATGTGGGTTTCAACTCATGTAACGACATGGATGAAATGGCCGCGTGCCGCACTCACATCACCTCGTACATCACATCAGCAATAGCGAAACCCCATGCGCACATGGCCCGGATCTGTTTCAACACATACGACGAAATGAGGGCATGTGGAGCTGCTCCTGCCGAGCCGCAGTCTTGTCACGATGAATTGGTACAGCTAGTCTCAGCTTGTGAATGTTGCAGTGATTTTTCGGTTCTAGCTTGTGGACTAGTAAGCTCCAGTTATCACAGTAGTGACGCAGTAGTGGATTGTAGAGGTTGACAATACGTTTCAGCAAGGTGATGCTGCTTGGACCGGGCCCGTGCCGGAATCGGCCGTGCCCAGAGGCTTCAATTGTTTAAATTGCGTGTGCTCGAAGTGCTCACCACTGCTTGAGGTGCATCTGCTGAACTCGTATTTCATGAATCTTGCAGAAACTCTGAGGCTGCAGACGAAGGATTCGCCCGTCAAAGCGGAAAAATCGCCACTTCCACAGTCCAATGTGGTGGCCTTGCAAAGCTGGAGATACCAGCACACGAGAAACGATCCGTTGCTTGCACGAGCAGCGCTGCAGGAGAATGGCTCAGGAAGTTGCTTTTCTTGCGCAGCCATCCTTCCAGCAGGTCATGGCATTCTGTCATCCGCCGCCTGCTATTCGTGCTGTCGTGTCATTAGGTTGTACTGTGCCTAAGTTGCGTGTAAGGAAGACAGGAGGACCCTATGAGGGATTGGTCGGAGCTGTTTCGACTCCGGCCAGCATATATGCTTCATTGACTCATTGAGGATGCGCTTCTTGGCATGTAAAGGCTAGATAGGCCACTAGATGTCTCATGGGCTCGGGAACTCTGTTTAAAAGGATCATCTGCCAGACATTGCATCATCTGTGGCTCCATGTGCTCCTCTGGGCCAGAAGCTTCAGACTTCAGATCCACTCTCACAAAAAGGTTGCAAGCAGCGCTACTCCTGCACCCAGAAACATCGCACTTTGCCACGACCGCCACGAACAGCAACTCGTCTGCCATCTGCCGGCACTTGTCATCCAAAACGTGGCCGGCAACCTCCTCCTCCTCCTCCTTCTCATTGCTCTTGGCCGTCCCGGGCAACCTCGTCTTGTAATCGTGCACCCCTCTGCGCCTTCACCTTGTGGCCCTGAAGCGGCACCACGCTCATCCACGCTCAGTATGACTGCCACTTCCGCCAGCAGTTCGAACAGTACCTCTAAAAACGTCGGGCCCAGTCCCACAAGTGCACATCTTCGAACCTACCTTTCGCGCTGTTTCTGAGAGAAACTCAGCAGCGGGCCATTTGCCCCGTGCCTCTGCACAGCTAGGATTCGGACCGCAATTGTCTTGCGAATCCTGGGCCAAGCACGCTCCAACCTTCCAGCCGTTGCCGACCGCACCTCATCAAAAGGTCTAGTTTACGATAGAAAGAGTGAAGCTTGGCCGACATGAAAATGCTACAAAGCAGAAAGCGCACCCAACCAACGTGTAGCTAGATTGACTGTTGGCAGAGCACGCCACAACGAAAAGGCGAAGCCTCTTTTCTCTGAACATCGCCTCTTTTTCTCTATTGGCACAGCTTTGGGCTTCAGTTTCGGCATTGTTTTCCTACAGCTCGACTGTCGAACCTCCTGACCGCTCATGGTAGGTGACGCTTCAAGTACGCACTGCCGCCATCATCCGTGCTGCCGTTTCCATCATACACCCAACCACCAAACTTCCCCTTGGAAGCGGGCGATCAAATGCTTCCATTTTGGGGGCTTCGTTTTCTCGGCAGAGATGCTGGTGCCCTCCTAACTCCGAAACTCTAGTGGAACGGGCAGCACGTCTTATAGATCTTCTCTGGCAAGGCTCTTTATGCTCCTAAACACTTTTGCAGGGAATGGTAGTTTCTAGAATCCTAGGTGCTGAGCCCAATTTCGCCCAGCTGAATGTCTGTCATCTGGGGCTGCAGCTCTGCGCACGTCTGGAATCCGCCGTCTTCCGCCACTGTCAGTGGCACCCAGCCTGTCGAACACCAGCTGCTCTAGGTCCAACAGCCCTTGTCATTCCACAAGCCTGGTGCGAAGGGCTTCGGTGCATCCGCAAAAACCTCCGTCACCGGCCTCTCAGGACAGGAGGAGGCCAGAATTCGAAAAGCCAGCTCCCACCTGAACGGCTGCTGGTGACCTTCCGACTTTCGAGCTGCAAAGAAGCATCCAGTTTTCGTCCCACAACTTGAGGCCTTCATCGCCATCCTTTCGCAGAAAGGGTCGAATTTCCAGATCTGGCCTCGGGTGGCCCGTTTTCACGCCCCGAAGCACCGAGGGCAAACTCCGGGAGTCCACGCGGAAGCATCTGGTGCTCCCACCTTGGCTGAAGACCCCAAATTGGTTCAGCCCTGAATGCCCTGAAGGATTGTGAACAACCCGTTGCGACGGTCGAGGCCCTTCACGAAGGCTTACCAGATCACGAGACGAACGACCATGTAGCTGAGGCAGCTGCCACTGCTGCATCTGCCAGTTGCTGAATGGCCCGCGGCCTTTGGAAGGAGCTCTCAGGCTGCAGACTCGACAGGATGCCGGCTGCTTCCAGGAAAGCCGAGCCGTGAGCAAATCGACTTGGGGTCCAAATACTCCCAGCAGCCGCAACCTCTCTGCATTGAAATTCGAGAAACTGGACTGTCAGGAGCCACTTCAGTCGTGCGTGCAGCCTTCGAGTGCTGCGACAGACACGGCCGTAGAGTGCAACTTGCAAGCAACTAAGCGAGGGGCTGCCTGCCTCTGCCGCAGTACCACCTTCAGCAACTAAGTTCTAGATGCATCAAATCCCCTGCCAGGCCCTGCTCGGGCTTCCTGCTTTCCTCCGCCTTGGAGATGGCAGACCTGCCAAAGAAAAAACCTCTCGGTGATCCCAGGATGCTGTTGAACGGCCAACCAGATAGTGGCCTCCAGTCCCATACGCGGAGGACTTCAGAATTCCTGGTGTTGTTCCGGCCAGTACCGTTCCTGGTGACGTCGAACTCACAGATGGGCTGCGTCAGACATATTCTGCTTTTTTGAGATGCCCTTGAACTCAGGGAGCTGCCACTCTGCAATGAAAATGGACAGCCCGTTGGTGCCTGACTCATCTGGCTGCAGAATTCCCACTGTGCGGCATGGACCCGCCAAAGCCAAGCCGGTCACGTGTCCGGAACTTTTTCCTTGGCGAAACAAGCAGCCCATCAGTTGAGCTAGACTTAGCCCTGACCGAAAGACGAAAGCATGGCACAAGCATGCCAGAATCACACATGCTGTGCAACCTCCCAGCGATTTGTGATCTCTTCCACAGTGATCTTGCAAGTCCTTCCGGCAACTAGCTGACGCCATGCAGGGTTCTTGCAGGGGTCCAGCCGGACGAAGCAGCTCCTGGGATACTGGGCGACGGCCGCTCGCTGCAGCGCATAGAGGCGTCGGTTGTCCAGCGTGAAGAGGCCCTGTGAGCAAAGCAGACTTTTCGGGAGATCTCCGGTGTCACCGTCTGAAGCCTCAACTCCCCGTCGCTCTTCACCCTTCTCATCGAGGACAGGCTTTCCTTCACCATCCTCTAGAGCTGAGCCGCTATGAGCCGCTGAGCTGTAAGGGTAAGACAATTCTGCGAGCCCGGCCCGCAACTTTGGGCACCAGCGGACCGCCTTTGCCAAGCGGGCTGAGAAGCTGCATAACATAAATGCAAGTTCCGATGGATGGCCTGAATGCAAGGAAACGGTGTTTCCAACCAAACATCCTGCACTTCTCAGGAAGTCACGAAGTGCTTTTGTCACAGAAACGACTATCAGCCTGTGGCCTCATCAGCTTCAGACTGGACTGCCTCAATTTCCCTGCGAGCTGAGAGGTTCAGGGCCAGGCAATAAAGGATTCACAACGCTGAGACTTTCAGAGCTTCCCCTCACCAGCAGAGCCACCTGCCCTGCTCCCTATTCCACTTCAACTTTCTTGAACATGACCCGCAAGGCGGTCTGAATACTGAAATCTGCACCATTTGTGGATTCATATATCATTATGTCAGCAGAGCCGTTACGAGGTGAACCAGTCGAGCAGAGACAAAGCAAGCACTTCCAGATTCCCACGGGGCCTGACTGCATCATCCACTGAGCGGCCATCCGAGAATAACGGGTAGATCACGTGCTGAGAAAAATGGACCTGCATGGCAAGCATCAGCTGAAACCCAGTTGAATCTAGTGTCTGCTTTCACCTCCAGTGGTGACACCGGAACTTCTTGGACTCTTGGTGGTCCTCCACAAACGCTTCATCTGCATCCACATCGACTTCCTCTAAACAAAGTATCTGGAGAACAAGATCAGGCTCGAAATTCATAGTCATAGCCTCTACGCTCAGCTCCTCACCCCCGGCGCAGCTTTGTGCTATTTCCGCAATGCAGCATTTGGGAAGCTGTGCCACGCCCTGCTTCTTTGTGCTGGCGCTTCGGCGGCTGTGCTGAATGGGCTCTTGTCCGACGGCCATATTGGCCGCTGTTCTGGCCCCCAGCTCACATTTCAGCCGATATTTGCAATTGGAAACCGCAAGCAAGGCAGTCAAGGGACACCTTCGGTAGCGTCTTCCTGCCGAGACCCTCTGCTGCCGTCAGCCAACTCGAGCGGATCGTCCTGAGGGGCACTCGCTTCCGCCTGATCTCTTCGATCTTTGGGTGTCTTGGCTTCCTTGGGATCTTTGTCCCGTGAAGTCATGGCAGGTCGACTTTTGGCCGCTTTCTTTTTTGGCTTCTTGCGCTTGCCCTTAGGATCTTCGGCATCTGACATCTCTGGTGCAATGTTAGAGCCTGCAGCAGTAGAGTCCTCAACCGGATCACGGCGAGATGCTTTGCGCATCAAATTGCGGGCGGATTTGTCCTTCGTGTCCTTTTGACGTCTCTCGTCGTCCATGTTGACATCCTCCGAGTCAATTTTGGCGCGTCCATCGCCTCTGGCTGGTTTCTTCTTCTTTTGGGGCTTCTCCCGTTGCTTTACGGCCTTGCGTGCTGCCCGCTTCTTGCGACGCAGGGCAGCGGCCCCATCGTCTTCAGAATCAGAAACATCGTCGGAATTACCGTCATCTGGGAACAGAACCTGCAGCTCCTTGCAAACCAGCATAACTTTTCCTTGGTCTGGGTCACAGAAATCCAGAATTGCATCGCAGAGCATGTAACCCATCTCCTCCAGGGCGGTGCATTTTGGGTGAGCGTTGGTATTCGTTCACTCAACCAAGACTATCCAAGACTTGAACACCTATGATACTGTTCGGAGTGAGAATCAAACAACAAAACGTGGGGAGATCATGACTTCAGAGCTTGGGCTCAAGAATATGAGGGTGCATGGTGCACCACACGCTCGTGGAATCCACGCCAACGTATTGCAAACACTCTGCGAATAACATCCCGATTTGGTTCTGGAGGCTAGGACGCATTACAGGCCCATTTTTGTGCGTGAATAGTGTGCTAACCATAGTAGATTTTCCCAACTTACACCCAGTTCTTCTACATTTTGTCCTTGAGAGGATGATTCTTATGTAGCACTACTACAGTACTACAAGACATTACGTAGATTTTGGGGTGTGTTCTACCTACGGTATAAAATAGCTTGTTTGAATCGGGTTTGTGCTGGTGGCTGCTTTGGTCAAATGTCATCTCCCCCAAGATGCTTGCAATTGCGACCCAAGGACAACGCAACGCTTCCACATCATGAATCAATGAATCGTGAAAGCTGTGAAACGACCGAGTCTACAACCCGGAAGGCCGTACACCCGTGCAACAGGTGTAAGTGTAGTATCCGAGGTACCCACGAGGTCTCACAACCTGGGACCTTCCATGTTTCGATCAGCGCTTTCGCGATCGGATGGAGCGTGCCAGCTCCGCACGATCGGCCTTTGTGACTTTCGAATAACGTAGATTCCCGGCTTCCAGGCCCTGATAGCATACTTGGGTCTCCCGGTGGGCTTTTGCGTCAGATCCTCTCACTTGGACGCGGCGAGGTTCGGCGCGTTTGCCACCTTTTCAAGCATCCAGCACACCAACGGCCCTCCGTCTGCTGCAGTCGCTGGAGTAGATTCTGGCCCCGGTGCTCGTCCCAGTCGTTCGTGCGCACGTCAAAATCTCCATGTTTGTCCCGCCGAAATCTATCATCGTTCGTGGAAGCTCCCGAAAGGCATGGAAATGTTCCTCACTTCCATGTAGTGCTGCCAGAGCTCTTCTCTGCAGCGGAGGAATGTCTCGAACGACATCTGCGACACCTCGTGCACGGTCTCTGGCACTAGCATCCGGATGTGGAGAGTCTTGTGACAGACTCCCTGTAGCGCATCTTCTATCTACAGATCGGTCACGGCCGGGCCCGTGATCTGGCTCCTTTGCCGGAAGCGAACTGGGGTACACCGACAAGCGTCGATTCCCAAATCCTGGCTGTGAGGAGCCTTGTTGATGAACTGCGTGGTGAGCAGCTGGAGGCGTGCGAACTGCTAGGTTTAACCCTGATGTGCTCCACCGTCGGTCCTTCTGGAGCTGAGGCCGAGCTCTTGCAGGTTCAGTTTCTTCTCATCCTGCACGTTTGCCCCCTGCTTCCATGATCATTATCCCACTGCCCGGGAGCTGTCTACTCCTTTCAAGTTGTCCTTCGAGGCATTCGAGCCGCGACACTAGAAGTGTTTGTTTTCATGGAGTCGAATCTCTTGCTCAGGAGCTTTCGTGGATACTCGCAACAGTATCTACTGTTGTTCAATTACAAAGGCATGCTGTCGTTGCTAGACCCAGTACAGCGAAAGCCATACTGTTGAAAAGCCTATCCGAACTCTGAACCGAAATCGAGAGAGGCTTCGCAGCAGTGTTCGAAGAGCCTCAGTCCTCCAAATGCCGGGTTGTGAAGTGCTGCTCACCCAGCGGGCCGAAGTCCGCACCACAGAAAGACGCTTCCAGAGTGTAGGAATTCACCACTCCCAGCTCTCGGTAAGCAACAACTCGAGCAGTGGACTCCTTACTCTTCTGGATCTTGAAGCAGCAGTCATCGAAGCTGAAACAGTCTGAGCTCCGGCAAAGCAGACCGGGGAATATCTTCTCCCGTAGCCCATTGTTCTCGCTGTTTCCGTACATGAAGACATTCTTCTTACGGCTGTGTCCGTGGATGTCTACGTACAGAATTACATCTCGATCATCAAGCAGATGGCGAAACATGCTTTTCGTAAAGAAGATTGTGGGATGCATTTTGCGGCTTGGCTCGTCCCACAAACGGTTCAGGTCCTGACCGGCCAAAGAGCACCGGTAGTTGCCTACTATCACACCATCCGGGTTCAGCATAGGGACAATCTTGAAGACAAAATTGTCTCGCAGAATTCTTGCATCCACAGATGCCCCAGTTAGGTAGTCGAGGATGCCTTTCATGACCCAGGAAGCGTTCGATTCTCCGGGATGTACACGGGCGGTAATGACCACAGCCCGCCTAGCCTTCAGTGCTGCTGGATCTCCGCAGAAAGAGGTGATCGTTATCAAATCGCAGGCATTGCCCGCGAGAGTGTCGCACAACTTCCTGCGCCGAAACCGTCGCACCATGTTCGGATCCTTCTCCAGCGCCCTCAGGTCAAGTTGAAGGTCGGTGTATGTATACGGATAACAGTGAGAGAAGTACACTTCATCGCAGTCGTGCTCGAAGGTCACTGTAAATGTAAGAGTGTAGTAGTTGGCACCTTTCTGTCGGCGCAGTCCATTTTGATAGTATGCAATCCTGTCACCGCAGCGAGCCCATCCAATGCCCTTGGTAGCTGCATCAATGGAGGAATAGTGAAGCGGTCGCATACCCTCGTTGTAAACTGATGTTGGCTTGACCATGTTGAGAATGTTGAACTTGTACTCGGGCCCTCTGCGCGTATTTCCAACGCGAAAGAAATACCATTGCGTGTGCGACTTGGTGTTGTAGTCTGGATTCAGAATTAGGTCGTACCTCATTGAGCACTTTGCTTCCACTTCCGCAAATGCAGCTCGCACACTTTGTGCTGCCAAAAGCACTCAAACTCATAGGCCTGCACGGCGCGGCGCAGGTTGCCGCTTTCAAAGCGGCTCTCGAAGACCAATGTGCGGTCATCGGGTCCTGGAAGGCGACTGTAGTCGCCCTCGAATTGGCGACGGGCCAACGCACGTGGACGTGCACACACGCACACGCAAGGTTGTCCTATGGGCGTGTAGTACGGCGTGACGAAGCTCAATGCCGGCGCCGAGACATGGCCCGGCCCCAACAGATCCTTCCGAGGCAATTACGGCCATGCACTTCAGCCCCCTTGGTAGCAAAAGCAGGAGCCACATGATTTGCCATGCCCAGCCTGCATAAGCGGGCCTGGAGGGGAGACTGCTGGCACGAAGGAACTCGGCTCGATGTGGTTCGGGTCACCCACACTGTCGTAAACGATACGATTCCGCACATTCTCCGGGCGAGAAATCCTGTCAGCCTCAGACTTGACGATGTCGTCGAAAAGGCTCTCGGGGGCGATGTACAACAGCTCTGCCTCTTCGGGCACCGCTCTGATAAATGTAGGCGTGGCAGCCATCATCGGAATTGCAATTCCGGTCTTCGGGGGCAGATTCTGGTCTGGATAAGTGTCTTGGAAAAAGCACTGGAGTGGTGAGGCTGCTTCGTCATGCACATCCGGGCCATCGACAGGTGCGGCTGTGACACTCGGAGTGGCTTCGACCGTGCCGACCTGTTCGCCTTCTGGCCCAGGTTCCGTCTCAAGATCCACACCAGCAAGAAGAAGTATCTCATCCTCAGCTGCGTTCTTCCATGCAGGGCGTGAGTTGAGATACATTGAGATGTTGCAGCACGACACCACGTTGAGACCAAGATCCTTTACACCAACCTCTTCCTGATCAACGTCATCTGGATCTTCGAAAGCATCCATGTCCTCCACCTCCTGCAGAAACTGTGGCCGGTCTCTCCCTCTCTCGCTCGCAGCCGCGGTTTTGCTCTTGGGGCTCTTGGGAGTGGAAGGCGGAGTCGCTTGATGCTCGGCCCGTGCTTTCCGCAACTTTCCGTTTCCAAACGAGACGAGCTCAAGCTTCCACGTTTCCTACCTCAGGACTTAAGCATTGGCCTTGGGCAGGATACCAATATGTAAAGCGGATGTTCACAGTAGCTTATCTTTTGGTCAGGGCTTGGTCCGGCAGGTGTAGGAGTTCATGCAATACGGTCCGTACGACTTTTGCAAGCATTAACTTGCACTGTACCCGCCCTAGCAATGCTGGAATGTAGAAGCCCTAAAATCCCAAGCGTGACACATCAAAAGGCAAGCAGAACAACTGTAAGACAATGCTGAAAGCGGGTCCTATAACATGCTGAACTAAAGGCACACAATAAGCCCCGAAGTCTTCCGCAGACACCCCTCTGCAAAGGCCCAAATACCTCGTCCATCTGATCGTCACTTTTCAGTGAGTCTTCACTGCCAGCTTCAGGATCGGAGATTTCGCCGTCGCCGTCCTTACAGTGTTTTTCTTGTCAGAGCGAAGCTCTCTTCTGGGACTAGGAGCTGCAGACAAAGCTCCGAGTCTTCTGCATTTGTCGGTTCTGGAACTGGAAGACATGCTGCACCAAGGGCTTCTCCGCCCCCAGCCTCAACCTCAACACCTGCAGATGTTCTATCCAGCAGTTCTGTTTGATACCCACCATTGGCATCAGCTGGCATCGTCACAGAAACACAGGTTGCCGAGCTTGTATCAAATGTAAATCACAGGAGAGCACTGCTGCAGCAACTCTTCTCGTCGATTGCTGCGGTACCATGGCACACAGGTCGCCATTGCAAGTGCTGTGGTGCTACCAGGTGCTGGCCTGTACTCGCTTGTGAGCTACGCACTATCCGTGGTCAGATCTATATACGTCGGACAGTTGGCAAAGATCGACATAGCAAACGACCTGAGCCAAAACAAAGAGTCCACTGGTTGGTCCTGGAACGTAAATTTATGCCTGAATCTGCAGAAATCAAAGAATCGCCAGCACCTTGCAGAAGATGTCGAGTCGCGCTGTCAGCAACGATAACCTTTCCAGCTAGTCACAGCGCACATAGCCAATTAAGCAAGACCCGAGTCGGTCCTCGATGTTCGGCATTGGCCACTGGCCACCATGAATGATCCGTTCTGCCAACCGACGCTCTATCGTCAGCAGCGCTACCAGCGTGTGTTGCGAAAGGGGCGGTCTGATCACGCGGCTCGGATCGCGATTAACGTTTGTGTCTTGGGGAGGAGAGGATCCGTCATGGTGGCGACTACGACTAACCCTCTCTGAAAGGGCATACAGAAAAGCTGTCCACTGAGACACTGCGAAAACCCGTGGCAGACATCTGATACTGCAGGGAGATGTTGGATGGATGAACCGATGACCACTCGCTGGGGGAACCTAAAAGCATTGAAGCACGTTTCGGCCTTTGAACGCCAAACTCTAGCAAACCCTGAAATGGACAAGTCCGGAAGCCTCTTCACTCAAAAATCGTGACCGCTGGCAAACCTTCAAACTCCAATCTCTAAGAGACATAAACCCTCAGCGCCGGAATGCTGTCGCTACGGAGACCCGCTTCAAGTCTGGGTGGCAAACCCTAAAAACGCGGGAGGGACTTGTGGGAGGCTCTTCGAAGTCTTCGAATTGAACAGGAGATGTCCGTTGGCAAACCCCGACGGACCCTCGCACTCTGCACGTTGTTCGCGATCCGAGATCTTGCTCGTCGAACTTTCTGGTTCTCTACTACGGGAACACGGAGCCCCATCTTTTAGTGTTTCATCATCTGGCATATTGTGAGTCGGGTAGTAATTACTACCTTGCCGGTGCAGCATCAAGATTTTGGGTCTAAGTATTGATGTGCTCAAGGTTTGAACCGAAAGTCTAGCAGCGATGGAATCAGGAAGCAGCGTTCAGTAGCTCCACCTCTACGCTTCGGGTCCCCGTGCAATCCATCCAATACTGAAGCTCTTCCGAGTAGTGCTAGCATCGTCGGTGGTAAAGGAGAGCCAAGCTTAGTTGTGCCGGGTACACGAAGACTCATGTGCATTTTCTTGATGCTGGACCGGAAGCATCACGTGCATTCGCCGACTCCAAGAATTCTCCCTTCGCTCCGGCCTTTTCCGTGTCGGGGAGGCATCAAGCTATGTCTTCCGTCTACGCTTGCCGTAGAATCGCGACAACGCTGCACCGACACCTGAGGTGGCTGGGACATCATCCACGAACTAAGGGCAGAATAAGGGAGTCTGTGTGCGAGGATCAGACCCGGAGGTGCTGCTTTGCCAGACTGCAAATCACACAACTTCTGCATTTGAACAAAGGTGCGCAACGAGCCACAACCACAGAACAGATCTGCCTCTGGCTTGCTTGGGGCAGCACCTGAGGCGACGTTGATCCACGGTTCCGCTTCTGAGGCTAGGCATGGCCAGTTTTGCACAACACGGCTCCCATGCTGGTTTTGGGGGGACCTACTGCCGGAGAGGTTTTCGAGGCTTCATGCCGGCGACCTCTAAGGAAGCACGACACAACACGGCAAGCCTTTTCCTTTGATAGAGCAGAAGCTCAAGGATCCGAAACTCTACATGAACTGGCTAAACACACGTGCCGCTGCAGTTTCTCGAGTCAATTGCTACTTCGTTGGTGCAGCTGTCAAAATGCCGTTCCGTTGGGATTTCCCGATGCGAACTATCTGTGACGGAATGCAAGCCCTTCTCTGCACTACAGTCTTCCCATTCAATGCAAGCATATGCAAGCCACGGAATGCTTCCGCACTTTCTGGCCCCAGCATGTTCACTGAATCTCAGACGGATGGCTGGATTCTGCCCTGTCGATTCCCACACCAGGCACGAGGATCGGAAGCAGGCACATTAAATCAAAATCGTAAGTGGCCAGCAGTAACTCTTCAAAGTGAAAATTCTGGAGAAAGAGGGCAGCCTTAGGGCCTACACGGAGTGATGGCCTGACCCCTGAACCTTCAACCTCACTGCACAAAAGATCCATCATCCAAACTCCGACTCCAACAAGATGATGCAACCGTAAAGTGGAACGTAGATGGCAACTCCCAAAGCATTGAAAATTGGCAAACCCCAGAAACTGAAACAAAACTGCCGCAAACCGCCAGGCTCCAAATGAAATCTTGCACTTCCGATGTCCGTAAAAAGCGCAACGAGTGCACCCACAATGCCTGATAAGCCCGAAACCCATCGAAACCCTACAAGGTGCTCCTAAAGCATGCTCAGGGAAGGCCGGAGGTAAACATTCATGGAGGAACAGCTGTTGATGGATAAGAACCATCAGAAAATCAGACAACAAAACGCCCATTTGGGGAGTTCTTGATGTCCGGGCACTTACGTGTCCAGTGCCGGTCCCAGGCTTCCCGACACTCGAACACCACACGGAGGAGGCCCCAGATCAGGCATCCCAGACCCGGAAATGTCAAAAGCGAGCTCGATTGTGCGGAAGGAAGTCAAGGCTTGTTCCTTGGAGCTGTTCACCCTTTAAGGAAAATCCTCTCAGCCGCGGTTGAAGTCGCTCAAAAAAAGCTTGCGCATGGCCTTTTCGAAGGCGCTCCTTGCGACGTTCAAGTGCCCTTCGAGCTCTCTCTGTGAAGTCGAGTGCTCTTGGAGCTTCAGCACGCAACCAAGCCAAACCCTATCCTACCCAAAGCTGCCCGGAGAAAGATGCCTTGCAAGCCCAGCGTGGCCTGTTGAACAGTGCTCGACAACCCCGAAAATCCGATAAGTCTGGCATCTAGAGCGGAACACTGGAGCACCTCCACCATCCTCAGCTTCACCCTCGCTGTCATCCTCTTCATCTGTTTCGCCGCCAGAGCCTCCCTGCAAACGTCACACGTTTCAGAAACGACTCTGACATGAGCCTCAGAGACAGAGCTGGCCTCACCATTCTGCGTGCGATCCCGGGCCTTTTGCCTTGCGGTTCGATGTCAGCCGAAGGAGACAGCAGTTTGGACTCAACAACTGGATGCCTCTGTTCTGCAACTTGCTTCAGCGCTTTTCTCTTCATTCGATTGCCCACCTGGTGACTACAGCGGAGGGAAAAGCTCACTGATCAAACAGCAAGTCGTGGCAGCACCTTGTTCTTTCCTCGTGCCTTTTTGGCTTGCTTTTTGCTTTTGTCAGCCTCGACGCAAGACTATCACAACAAACCGATCACTGCATACCAACAGCTCCTATACCACAGCCAGTCTGGCGATGTTCAGCAAGGTCAGGATGGTCAGGTCGGCAAAAAGGTCATAGCTGTGGAAATACCCTCATAATTTTGCAACATTGTTGCTAAGGTTGCTAAGGCACACAGATTCGTTCTGCATTGCGTTCATGCTGCATCGGCGGCTTCTGCAGCTTCTTTCTTCGCCGACTCCTCTTTCCAAGCCTGCAGGGTACCGAGAAAGCACAAGGCACAGAGCATTCCTGAAATTCGGCCTTGACCACGCCCTGGTTGAGCTCACCGATTTTGTCCGGGTTGATCCTCAGGGCTGTCACCGGCCGATAGCCAATTCGGTGGCCACAGAAGCAGGCACACGGTATGCAAAAGCGAGCAGCCCGGGAGCCCGCCTGCCCGCACCCTTTAACAAAACTGCACACTTCGCTGAGACGCTGAGAAGGTGGCATGATAGAATCCGGCTGCAGTTTATCCAGCAATGAGTTTACCTCTAAACTGACGGCTTGGTGCATGCTGCGCATGATGCGCATGCAGCTGTCAGATCAAAGAAGGTCCGCAACCGCTGCAGCCGTGCCAAAAGCATCGCGAAAGTCTGCGGGCTTTGCGCCTCTCGCTCTCGTCGCTGAGACTTGGTTTCGTAAGGGTTCGCCTGGCGTAAGCAGAAGTCCCACACGCAGGTCTCAGCATTTTCGCCGGAGCGGCGCCTCGAAGGAATCGAAATTGGCTTTGCCCGCACCCGGTACAATCAGACCTTCGGCCGAGGGCCCAGGGAAGGTTGCTGGTCTCAAATCGGATGTTAAGCATCCAGCTTCCAAAGCCATCGGAATGTCCGACGCAACAAACATCCTGCCAGCCGGGTTTTAGCGAATTTAGCGGTCAAACAAAAGGACGCCCACTCTGTCCTCGAATGGCCTGAAACGCACGCATTCGATCATCCGCCCTTTGTACCTCTTGGTGGGTCATGTTGTTGCTCTTGCGGAAGGACAGTAGCTTTCGTTGTTGGCACGTTCTTTCTGTGATGTTGCTCTCGAGTGTCTTCTCAAGTCGCATTGAACAGACAAACTTTGCTTCAAGGTGAAGTAACATCTCGTGCACGGTAGAACAATGGGCGCACTCTTCGGTGATGTATGGCCTCACCCGGGGGACAAAAGCATCAGTCTTTGGCGCATTGTGAGGATCTGTGCGGACTCTGGACCTGCCTCGGCTGCCTCGCCGATGTTGCATCCTTCCAAACCTGGCAAGGCATGGCTAGCCGAGGGCATCAGGGCTGCAAAACGTACCGGATCTTTGTTGGCCTTCCTGTCAGCCTCTCGTGTGTGCATTTTGAGTCGTTTTGAAGCGGACTGCTTCTTCTGTGGCTCCCTTGCGTCCCACTTTGCCGACGCAGATTCCTTTCGAGCTTCTTCCACTTATTTGATGGACCCTGCTTCGAGCTGGCCTTCGCATGTAGGTCGTGCGTGTGTTTTGTGCATGAGTGCTGGCTACAGGCTGACATTCACAGTCTTCTGAATCACCATCACATCGTGTCGGCGGCCACTCTTATTACAACGAAGAACAAGGCTGAAATGTCAAACAAGAGAGGCTGGATTCATGTCGCGCAAGGGCAGTGGCGGCCTCAAAGCGACATCCAGCACCGGTTGCCACCAGACCCGTCATGGACCTCAAACAGGTTTTCGTAGCCGGTTGTGTCACAGTGTGAGGCCTGACGCTAAGCAACTGACACATCTATGCTGCTGACAGCATGACCACGAGTCCTCTGGGTCTCATGGTCGAAACTGCACAAAACTAGGTGTTCACAGATGCCGACAGATGCCGCCTGTAGCAGTGCAGTTCTGCATACGTCCGGAGGTCCCACACCTTGTCAGCAAGATGAAATGTTGCAATCTCAATGCTTTACAAAGAATGCGGAAGCGTCATCCAGGTCAGGTCGATTCTCCAACACATTTCGGAACTTCCGTTCAACACATGACACAGCCGAAAGCCGAAAGCAAAATTGCAGAACACGACTCCGAAGTCCCTCGGGCCTTCCACTTCGACTCTGCTCCTGCTGTGACCTAGGAGGGACGGACAATCTTCCCCACAGAATAACGATTCTAGAACCACAGCTGACGGTTCACCAAAACCAGAAATCTCAACATAGTCATAAGTTGACAGCAAAAGTGACATGCTCCAGGTCAGTCCAAGCGCACGACCATGTAGTTGCCAGCGACAGCAATGGCGTTCACCTTCAGTCAGGAAGACAGCGCTTTCCCGCTGCTGCTGTTGCTTCTCAGCCTTCGCATTATGGCACGCCATCTTGACGACGGGCTCCTTGACGGTCCTGAAAACAAACCCAAAACATCTTGGGCGACATGCAAATTGTTTTCCTTTGAGAACCTAACGGCGTCCACAATGTCACCACCCCCTGCACGAGATTGCAAGCACCATCACAATTAATTACTCGAGCTACTCCGTTTGCAGCCCACAGTGCCTTGTTGTGCCCAAGATGCATCACAGCATTTGTGGGGTTCTGCCGCATACACCTAGCCAGGATGTGCAGTACAACTGCCTCGGTCTCGAAGAAATCCTGTTCTCAAGCTCCAAACGTGGCAGGCCCCAATTTCGTCCTGTGCTCGGCAACCTGTTCGTGTACGGCGGCACTGTTACTCAAGCGTTATTCCAAGGAAGGCCTGCTCGCCATATGAGATATCTCGCCAGGCGATCTCTCCGCGTTCACCTGCAGGCGACTCAGGCTGATGATGTCAACATTTTGGGGAACGTTCACGGACCTGCACTGACGAGTAGAAAATGATAGGGCAGAAAATCAAGATGCATCGGCGACCTTGCAAAGGGTGTCAGTGAAAGGGGGGGTCAAAAACTGCGCTCCACTCAGGCCCGGCTTCTGTTGCTTTATGCAATGCAGCCTCGAGATGGAGGGTGCCAGAACAACTTAGAATCTCTTCTCACGTGCACTCAGCGCACGGCTCTATTCCCTGCTTGTCGTAGATGAAGATGTATTTCCTGTAACACAACATCACGAGGCAGAGCCGTACACGTCCAGGCATCTTGAACAGAAGTAGACAAAGCATCTTTTCTCTTCGGCGCTACATCAACAGATTTTGTTGACTGGAAGAGGGGCGCGGCTCGGGCTTCAGCCGGAGAGCCTTGGATCAGCAGGATAACACTACTTCGACTCTTCCATTTGTCAGCCTTATGCAGCGTTGCGGTGTGTAGCAGAACACCCCGGCCACCAAGAAGCTGCTGCTGTCTTTGACTTGCCATCGCAGCTTTGCGCATCCACTCCATGTTCGTCCGATCAATCCAACCTGCGGGAATTCCCAAGGCAGCTCTTGACATATCTTCACCGCAGGGGTCGACTCCCTGCTTAGCGCCGTGCTTTGCACCATTTCTTCGGTGTAGGGATAAGGCCTGAGTGGTACGAAGCCAAGGCTGTTTTTTCGGAAGCCTCCCTGAGGCACCCACGGCTCTGGCTTGCTCTCATCGATCATGCCGTCCTTCTTCCACTGACGGATATATGCCTGCAAGGTTACCAAGGAAGAGTCTTGCAAGGTTGGGCCAAGCATGGAGAGACCTTTGCAAACTTGCGAGGCCACAGTATGCCTGCCATTCATTTCTGCACTCGCTGAGGTAGTGCTTCAGAGGATGTCGGCTCTGTTGCTTGATGTGCTTCTGCCTGCGACTGTTGTACTCATCGAAGACATGCTTGGCTTAGTGAGATCTGCTGAGCTTGGTAAGGTCCTCACGCTCCAGCGACAGCGAGCTCGGCACCCAACATTGGGACCATGTTCATGGCCGTGAAAGTTGGCATCAAATGTCGCGCGCCAGGCACATAAGCAGGCTGTTCAGGACTTGGCCGCAGCTTTGGAAGAATTCCCCGAACGATCTCGAAGTCTGCTGGATAATCCACGAACCATCTGAAGATTCGGACCTTTGCAACACGCTGATCCTTGCTGCATGGCTCTGACAGCCAGGATACTCACACTTGCTGTGTCAGGGCAAGAAGCCGAGCTGACAAACGAGGGTCCGGAGCTGAAACTGCCAAAGTTCTGAGCTTCGACAAACATGCCTCGGGCAGTGCATGGTCCAACAGGTAAAACATGCTAGTCAGCTGCTAGTCACACATGCTGCATCTACGCCCCCGAAGCCCACTTCAACCCCCGACCACAGAAAGGTCCCCCACGGCAGACAGCCCCAAACACAAGCTAGACTGCCCCGACAGAGCGGAACATGCAAGAACTGAACTACATATTTTCTGCTGCATGGCATAGTCGGAAAACCTGTTTGTGCCAAAATTATGGAAGGTTCTGCAAGCTGCACATGAGAACCACAAGAAGAACTGGCAATGAGACATCCAAAACCTATCAAACAAACCTCTCTTTCAGGAACAAAATTTGATCAGCTGCCGGTGGATGAGCCGTTGATGTCTCATGTATTACCTTCGACAACTCAGATCAAAAGCAACGGGCGGAAACAGAGGCTCAGGTTTTCAGCAACCTCATGGAGTCATCAGGCGTTCGATGGACCCGACCCTTTTGCATCATGAGTTTGCAAAACCGGTCTTGCACAGAGATGACACGCACACGCACACACCGAGTACGTACGGCAGAGCGTCCCGTGCTCCAGCGTCTAGGTTGAGCCACGCTTATCCAAGGCCGTGTGTATCGTAATCATGCAGCGTTGACTTCATGCTGGTAGAGCTGCTTCAAGCAGACGGTTCTGATACCGGCATTGAAAGCCTCAATTTGTTTTTCTGCGGCACCTGGTTCCGGCAGAAACCGCTCTTCTGACGAGGCAGCCCCACCCGCACACACAGACCGGCACATAACAGCTAGTAAGCTGCAACTGTGGGAAACCGCCATCCCAAAGCTTCGAGAAACCTCGATGCTGCCTGACACAAGAGGTCAACAGCAGCTTTTGTGATCATTGCGTGAGGACCTCCGGGTGAGAAACAGATTCTTGCCAGGAAATTGCATGGTTCAGCTGAAAACCAGCCTCCTACCTGTGTGTAGTCGGAACGGCCCGACAGGCCATCATGCTGCCATGAAGAGCGGGAGGCAGAAGGGCAGCCCTCGGGATTACGAGGGTGCTGTAGGCAAGGCCAGCCCATTACAACAACCTAGCGGAGCAGGAGGTTGGCCACCACCAGTACACCAAACCCGATGTGAGAAGGCACAGGTGGAAACATCTGCAGCTCTGGTTCACAAAAGAGCCCTACGGCTTGCAACGACGTGCTTCGTCTCGGGCGGATACGCCAAGACCCATGCGAAAGCCTAGCCCGCACAACAAAGATCGGGCTGTCATGCGCACACGAAGAGGACCCACCGGCGAGTCAGCTAGTCAATAAGACTTCAGCTACCCTCTAACACGCAGAGAAACCATTGCAACATACTGGGCGAAGCGGATCTCCGTTGACCCACAAGCCCACCAGCTCCTCGCAAGGCTCTGACATCCGGGCAGAAGTGCTGCGGCGAGCCAGTGTTGTATTGACAGCTCCCCCCAGCTGCGTCCTTCAAACCGAGCATTTTGTCTTTCTGAGGATCTGGAGTGACTCCCACCTTGACGACACGAAGCGAAACTGGGAACACAACCCATCATGTCTGAAACTATCCAAACTGGGCTATCCGGCCGCTTTGAGGATGAGCTGACACTTGATCTTCTTGCCTTTCTTGGTCTGAGCACCTGAAAGGACACATTTCATAGATGATCTTCCGATCAAAAAGGTTTGCTGGATGTCCTGCAGGCAAGCTACAGCCATTGGTAAGTCGCTTGATTTCATCCACAAGGACCTCCATCAAGCCATAATAGCCAGCCAGGAAGTAAACATCAGTTACCTCTGACGGGCAGAAGCGAATTTCTGAGGACTTACATGTACATGTGAAACTTTCGGAAGACGTATAAATGTGCACTGACTTTTGACAGCAAAGCGACGCCAAAAGCTGTTCTCTGCGTTATTTGCGCGTAGCTGCGCTTCTCGTCCGTCTTGACCTTCGCCATGCAGCTATGCGATTGTTCTCGAAGCTGTCTTCACAGAGCCGCTACAGTTACATGAAAACTGGATTTCCAACTGAAGAAACTGAGCGGTCGACGCAATGTGCAGACCAGCAATCAAAGCCTGCACCCAGGATACCACCACGAACAGCACATGCCCAACTAAGAACGAATAAGAACGAGCGACTTTAGCAGGTTGGAAGGGTGAACGTGATTGAAGCAGCAAGCCTACGAGGTCGTACATCTTCTGGAAGCCCTGCGGCATGTCAGGGTGTGCAACCGGCCACGAGGCGACATCGAAAAGCCCAGTCCTCAAGCAAGATGGTACCAGGCACCGGGTTCTCAAGGAAGCCCACCAGCCAAGACATCACCCTCATCCCGCAGAGATTTCCTGAATTCCGAAGAACAGTGCATGCACAAAGCTTGCATCCTGCGAAGCACAGAAACAACCTGATACTTCATCCAACACTAACACACCCATGCACATGCCTAACTGCATATGTCAGGAAACTTCCAGAAAAGAGCAACAGATTGCGCTTGCCACCGTCTCACAGATCGCACAGAGATTCACACTTTCGGGAATCCAAGGATCGCTTGCGGCACATCACGATGACTTTCTTGCACCTGTGCTCACAGAGCGTCCGGACCTGAGTGCAGTATGCCGCGAGGACCTGCGCATCTTTTCCGGCTGCGAGGCAGCACACGAACTGCAATTGGCTTGCCTGTCGTCTCGCTGTCGCGTCACCTGTCCCTTTAGCCCTAAAAATTCACACCAGAGCCTGGGTCCTAGAGTCGAAAAGCCTTAATCTCTAAATCATACATCCTTCAGAACAACTCGAACCTCGAAAGGCATCTAAGGCCATCAGCCCTGACAACCCAACAAGCCTCAATGGCCCCGGCCTTCAAATGCGAGCTCTGGAATGCCAAGCCCACAAGTTCCCCAACCGCAAAGGGGGCAAACCCTGGAAGGCTCTAACCCTAAACAGCCCAAAAGGTAGTGCTAAAAGCGCCAACCCAAACCTTGAACCCAAGTCCAAATGGTTTTTCTGCTTTTTTCAGGTGGAATCATGTCTGTCGCCTCTCGACTGAAATTGCACATCTGCACGGGGTCTCCCCAACAAGTGCAACTGTCTGCCTTTTGGGAGCTCCGCGACGCATCCCACATGACCTGAAAACCTCGAAGCTCCTAGACTTGCTGCAATGGAGGCAACGTGCAGGCTACCAATCTTGACATTCCCAACTTCTCAACCTCAAACTTCTGGGATCTTTCTCGCTGGCGGATCGAAAAGAAAAGCACGGAAAGAGGTGCAAGGGGTGCTCGTGCGTTTACTATGGAACTTGCAAATCGATGGAGTGGAAAGCTGCTGCTGCTGCTGCTGTTGCTGCATGCTGCTGTTGCTGCTTTTGCTGCTGTTGCTGCTTTTGCTGCTGCTTCTCCTGCACACTATCCGCCGGTGCTGCAGCAGCGGATTGTGTAGACCAAGGACGAGTAACTACAGGAGGCAAGCATGACCCAAAATGGCTAACTACAGGAAGCAAGCTTCGCAACGAAGAGGTCGTTGCCGCCACGAAGAGGTCGCTGCAGCAGCACGCGGGTAGGCACCCGCC